CTAGGGAATTTTTTTATGTTGAAGATAGAACTTTAAGATAATTTTTTTCACAATCAACCTAAAATAAGTGCTTCGAATAAACGTTTTGAACATTATTAAAAGATTGTTATTTATGTGCGTGTATTCGATATTTTTATCTTTTTTTTTTCTTTTCAATGGAAGACTAAAAAATTATTATACATTTTTTAAAAAATCTGAGCCATATTATTAAATTTTGAAAATTAATTGATTTTTATAAAAATGTGCACGTCATGCAACTGAAAAGATGGTACTATTAATTTTATTTGAAAATAAAATATTTGTTCTGAGAATACTTTGGCCCCTTAATCATTGACGTGTTAAAATTACATTTGCAATTTTTTAGTTTTGGATGAGTTCTGGAACTTCATTCATACGATTTTTTTTTATAAAATCTTTTTATGAAATACATTGCAAAAACATCAGAAAGTCTTACATGTTTCTTTTATTGAGTGATAACAAGATACATAATATTAAGTTATTATAATAAATGAACTGAAAATTTACCATTTAAAAATATTAAATACCAGTAAATTAGCAAAAATATTTTACTTCACTCATAAAAGATTTGAACTATCTATCATAGTCTTCTCGTCATACAAATCTGCATTTCCGAGAATAACGTCACAAAGTTACTGAGAGGCCTCGACTCTCGGTTGCTATGAGAAAATACAAACTTAAATCGTCACCTGATGAATGGTAGAACATTTATCACCATTTTATCGCAAAATTGAGTTTACCGTCAATCAAAATTCCGACCATTTCAAATCTAGCTAAAGTACTTAAAAAACTACGAGTTCTGACCTGAATGACTTATGCAAGTTTGCATCGAATTGTATACAGATACAGTGAAACTTCCGTTAAGCTGACATTCATGGGACCAAAAAATTTGTCCGTTTACGGGAAGGATACCATAATAACGAAATTTAACACCGTAAATTGTTTTTAGAATATTCTCAAAGATGTAGAAATAATTAAATAATATCTACAAGGATACTGTAAATATCTACAAGAATATTTATTTAAACAATAAGAAAGATAAAAAAGAATATATAAAGAAGTTTGATATAAATACATAATTCTGGATGTAACTACAGATAAATAAATATAATTTTCCTACTAGCATAGATACTTAAGTTAGACATATGATACCAAATAGGAGCGTACTGTCCTCAGTCCGTTTCAATTATTAGGTTCACATCCCCTTACACTTACTTATCACTTGATAGAGAACATGGTTAATACCTTCTTGGAAAATAAACCTCCCATGATTCACAGAAAAAAAAGTAATGCATACCTGTAAGTCATGAGGACCTATGGAGATGATTATTCACAATTGATCAGCTATCAAGTGTCTGAATAAATGTTTCATTTATATAAACACCTCAAAGATTATACTTCTGTTCTCTTTTTTTTACCCCAGTTGTGTTAAATACAGTCTTCAAATTGATAAGAAAATTAAAGAAATTTTCAATGGGGAAGAAGCATTGAGAGAAGTCATTTCAACTTGAGGGGTCTCATAACCTGTGTGGTCCAGATGAAAAGATCAAAAGATGCCGATGTCAGAATTATTTCAGGAGTGCAGTACCATTTTCTCTCCTTTCTTTACAAAGATAAGGCAAGGTGACAGGAGAAAGATTGATTTTTCGGTGGTGAAATAGCTTAACAATATTTTTAGTTATGGATAAGGCAAAAAGTTTTATTTACATGCTTTAAAAATGGTGAAAAGTTGCATTATTTTATCTTACAATTTATTTAGAAAAAGTAGTGTCCGGTTTGTAGAGATAAAAAACAACGTTTCAGGATCAAAATGACTGTCCGCGTCCGGTTACGGGAGTGTTCGCTTTGCGGAAAATGTACGTAATGGTTTGTTCATAGAAGATTCCCGGGGAATTAAAAATATGTCCGTATTGAGAGGCGTCCGTTTTGCAGGAGTGTCCATAACAGGAGGTTTCACTGTATATGTAAATGATCAAGGGAGCAATACCGTGCACTCAGAGTGGGAGTAGTTTCTGTGGTATTTCGGTAACAACCATACTCCGACTGCCCCAAGAAAAACAAAAATAAATCTTAATAAATACTTTTTAAAAATAAAACTTCAAAAAAAAAAAAGAAGCTCGGGTTAAAGTACATAAACAAAAAATGGCCCTTCCAGTACGTCAAATTTCAAGTGGGTCATTGCATTCCTTCGGCGCACACGATACTTTTTGAGACAAGTTTAACAGTTAATAATTTCAAACTAATAATCGAATGTCATTTATTTTTAATTCTTTATACCCCGTATGTATTTTTCAACATAGTGTAATTTGAAAATTATAAGTCTTATAATTTCTGTGCAGCAGAACTAAGTTGAACACTTAAAACTACAGCGGTCTGTATAATCTTTTTTAATATAGTGAGATATTTTCGATAGCCAAGCAACATTTTTAAATGCTCTTGTAAATAACACAAATTGTAGTTATATAATTAACAATAAAAAAATTACGATAGTTTGCTCTTGATGTATTGAAAATGGAATTGAACAAATAAGGGCCCCAGTAACTTCAATAGCTCAGGAACCCGCTAAGCTTAAATTCGGTTCTATAGGGTTGTTAGAATTGTATTCAGATTTGTAACCCTTCAAGCTTATTCCACTACCTACAATAATGGAAAAAATACTTTCGGTTTTTAACATTTTTATAAATTTCTCACGAAACACTTAAGTTAATTCTATAATTTCAGATAATTTTAGGTAATGCAATATCTTATATATAAGATATAGGGGAGAGTCGGGTATCAACGCCCACTTAAGGAGTATTGCTTATATTTCTGTATAATATTAAGTAATAATCAATATTTTTGTATGTTTCTATTGTTTTATCATCTAATTAAATAATGCAAAAAGTATAAACCAAAAAAAGAATAGTTTAACTTTAAAAAATAGCAATTTAAAAAAACATGTTTTTCAACTTTTTTCAAAATGTGTCAGGTAGCCCAGCCAAGTTACAAAAATTATGTTTTTTGACTGTTTTTTCAGGTGAAAGTGACCAATGTATTGACAATAGATAAACCTCATTTATCATTTTTATCACAAAATTATTTTATTTATTATATTAAAATTATTTTACTCTTCAAAACTATTGTTTATCATGTTACCAGCTGCATAAATACTTGAAACTTGGAAAATAATATTTTTTTAATATAACAATTAATGTCCGATGGCCCATTGACTTGAAAAAGTATTCTATACATATGAAATTGAGATTGGGCGGGGGTACATGATACTCCCCTACTTATCAATAAATTTTACAGCTTTCAGGGAGTTGAAAGGCTGGCAATAAATTGCAAACGGAAACGAATATTTTTGATAACACTGTACTAGAAAATACAGCAATACGTTTGTAACTTGCAACAATTAATTTGGTGGTTATTAATATTGCATGAAAATTTCGTAAACCTAGCTGAAATATTTATAAAAATATAGTCATATTTATAAAATTTTTTTTATTTATTTTGTCTTCATTGGCTATAACACTTATTTGAATATCTTCAAAATTCACAATGTTTCTTGAAATATTCTAAACAGTACTTGTATTTCTAAAAGAAAACTCTAAATGATGATGGATTTTCAACAAATTTCACTTTGCGTTATAAGACGAAATTAAACAACAAATGATACTTTATAACAGTCACCTGTACACCGAAATGTGATGGTATACTTTTATGGAGGATGATGCCCAGAATACTGATGTCATTTTAAATAAATCTCATTTAATAGTACAGAATAAAATTTTTGGAAAACCCATTATCATTCAAAGCTTTCTATGAAAAAATACAAAAACTGATCAGAAATTTGCTAAAAGCTTTTTAAATACTCAAGATATTCGAATCGGTCTTTTTCATTAGTCACTAACTAGGATTCACACAAGACATTACATTAAAAAAAAATTTAACGTTACTTTTTGTCTGCGCATGTGAATTATGAAAGAACTACTTTAAAAACTTCTTTTGTATTTTAAACAAATCTTATTTTAAACTCTAAAATAATAATTTTGTTATCAATTGAAACTCGTTCTGAAAATACTGTTGAATATTTTAGAAGTTATAACCAAAAAGTGCACAAATTTTTTTTTATAGAAATGTTTATACTTCTATAAATATTTAAGCTAGGTTTTATCAAATTTAATTCACATGTCATGGGGTGATCAAAAATATTTGTTTTCAGTCGTAAATTATTGCCTGTCCCTTCAACCAGTGAAAGCTTTGAATTTTACTGATAAGTATGAGAAATTGCATGAGATAAACACCTCTAAACTACAAAATAATCATTCCGGTATATTTTCAGAAATTTAAAAAAAATACAAAAACAGAAAGTGTCTCTTCCATTATAGGGTATTGGAAGAGACACTTTCATATTATAGGGTAATGTATGTTGTACAAAATAATTTTAAAATGTGATCTAGCTGGCAACTAAAGGCTGCTAGTACTCAATACTTTTGATAATTATACTGAGAACTATGGTAATTTAAGTGATTTATAATTATTTTTCAATGAATAAAGATTGAAAATAATTATTCAACAAATGGAAAAGCAAAAGTTAAATTTTCTAGCATATACCTGCTAAACCTAAAATGATTAATAATAGCAGTTAGTAACTGTTGTCACAGGTTACTACATATATTGAATGTTTAAGTCCGCCACTAGATGTGACAATTAGCTATACTTGTTTAAAATACAATACTCACCCGAGTACAACAGATTGATTATTCAATTTTTCATAATGCTTTTCGTATAATCCACAATCTACAATAAATCACACCATAATAAATGTGACTGTGAACAACAAGAATGCTACTTTATGAAAATATTTCAATACATACAAAATAAAATTATATTATTCAGCCTTAAAAATTTAACTTTTTTCATAATGCTGAGCATTCTTATTTGACATAGAGTACAAGACTCACACTATAATGAACATGACTATCAGCAACAAAAAACTATCCATTTTGTAACGATATTTTATTACATACTCAACAAAAGCTAGGTTATTCAACGTTAGAAATGTGATTGGCAAAAAAAGCTGAACATCCACACTTTACATAAAATATGAGGGTTAATCACTTCACATGAACATCATTATAATTGCTACAACACTAATTTGTTTTCAAAAAATTCTTAAAAAATAAGAAATAAATTTTATAGAATGTGTGTTACAAACTTTTAAAACTTATTTCATTAACAAACTGGCAAATGAAATTCTAAAGTAAAGGCATTTTATTTTAATTGAATGTAAACAAAAAAAATTGAAATATTTTGTAAAAAATATCGAAATTGTACTAAAAATAATAAATTTTAAAAGACATCTGACAATTTTTCGAAACTTTACTTCTGTATCTACTATGTCATAATACACAGTATAAGTATAGAATTAAATAAAGTGCCTTTTATTTTAACCGTATATAGAAAAAGTAGAAATATTTATAACAAAATATTGAAAATGTGCTGAACCATTATAAGAAAAGAACTACAAATTAATATCTCACACTTATACATGAAGACGTTACAACAAAAAAGTTATTTAAGGAATATTTATGAACTGGGCAGCTATTTAAAATGGCACATTAAAAACATTTGCATATTTATTTATTAAACTTAATTATTTTGGACTTTGAGGTGCATTGTTTCTTAATAAACTTAATTAGTTTTTGGAATTAAAAAAAAAAGTGAATTATGATTTACTAATTTTGATTATTTTTTAACAGTTTGAGTAATCTTTTGCATTCTTCATAAGTTTGATAGAATATAGGTTCAAAAACGTTAAAATGCAATTTAAAAAATGTATGATAAGTAAAACTTTCTGACTGTCATAATAATGAATGTTTTCAATGACTGTCATAATATTTATTAAAGCAATATTTTTGTTTACATTAAAATGAGATTTCGAAAATAGTGAACAAGTGGAAAATCTATGGATTGAAAAACAAGAAATAGATTTTATGAAACAATCTTAACCACTTTCTCTAAGGCTTTCATGATTGCAATAAAACCAAATTTACTTTTAACAACTTAAATCTTCTCCCCTTTAATTATAATGTAAAATATTTTGTTATAATTAGGGGCTGTTAAATTTTGTTTTGTAACTAATTGGAATTCAAAATAATAGGCAAAAAATATAAAAAATTTTAATTATACAATGTGTGCTACAAAGGATTCATTAAGTAAATAAAACTGCATGATATTTTCATATAAAATTGCATTTGAAATTTTTCTGGAAAAATACCGAATATTACCTTCAACTTAGGACACTAATGGTGAGAGAATAAATAACAATTTATGATTTTGACCAGTATAACTGGTGGTTAAGTAATGTTATCCAGCATCCAAGTTCCAATAAAATATGTTTGTAAAGCTTTTTTTTTTTTAAATTTAAATTCTTAACTTTTCTACATTAAAGTTTATTTTAAAGGCATTGCTTATGAATAAATACAAAATAGAATGACTGTCTAGAAAAGACATTGCTCAGTCATTTTAATACACAGTAAAAATCTATTCTTACACATGCTGCAACAATTCATAACTTACACCAGTACGAGTCGGAATATGGTTAGTAAGTTAAAGGAAAATCTCTTTGGACATATACGACGAGAATGTTTCTCACCAGGATCAATAAATCTATAATTAGCAATGTTTTCACTACAGGGCATTTCTCGCACATTTTATTCATTTCTCAGATTAAAAAATGATTAACACGAAGAATTCGCACACTCTATTAATCAATTTTAAAATGCACAAATCTCTCGAATTTCGGAAAACGATTTCTTATTCCGCCATTCCGAAAAAGACGTGAAAACAGCTACGACAAGTGTTGAAAAAAAAATTTGTCCTTTATAATAAGTTGTTTGCACCGACAATTTACAGCAATTTGTAAAAGTTGAAGTCTGTGAAAACTAAGCTGGAAGACCTTACAAGAAGTAAGAACATGGAAATAACTTCAACGAACTTCACTATTCTAAAACAGAAATAATTGAGAAGCCTATGCTGGCAGATGTAGAGGATAGGAAAGTGTGTGCACAATGCTACAAATTTAATTAGTCATTCCGAATAGTTCAGCATCTGTTGCAAGGTCATTTACCACCCAAAACCGAATTAAAACAAAATATTGTAACAGATTGACTGATGAGCATTTGGGCAACCCAATGAGAATTGAGAATTGCTGATGAAAAAGTAGATATAGAACATTTTCCATATGATGATGCAGCAAAAATATTCAATGGTTTGGAAATTAGAAGATGTTAAAAATGTATTATAATTAAAGAAATATTCCTTTTTTTATTCTTTTCTTTATTAGAAATATTTGTGTTATTTTTTTGAAATCTCACTCTGTTTTTCAGAAAGGGTGAGAAATTCTCCCCCATTTTTTTTCTGTAATGAAAACACTGGATTAGTAAGATTATTTCTTGTTGAGAAACACTTATTGCATATATTACTAGAATAACATACCTCACAAGTATGAACTCTAATGGTAATGTAAACATTTAGATCAGTATTATTGGAAACTCTTTCAAAATATACTTCTAAAATATGGTGTATCATTTTTCTGAAAAAGATTATGTTAAGTAAGAGAACATTTTTGAGATAAAAACTCTTATTACATTATGCTACAACAAAAAGGTTTTCTCACCAATGTGAATACAAACAGAAATCAGCCTTTTGAAAAGAACTCTTTTTACATATACTACAAAATGAAGTTTTTCATAGGTATGAATACAAGTGCAATTACCTGGACAGTCCTTATGTAACATATTATCTTTACAAATACAAGAATATAGCTTCTAAACAGCGTGAGCAAGAATGTGTTTAGTCAGACTACTTTTTTGTGAAAAACTCTTATTACATACAACACAAGAATAAGGTTTCTCACCAGTATGAACACGACTGTGTATAGTGAGACGAGATCTATCTGAAAATCTCTTATTACATATAACACAAGAATAAGGTTCCTCACCAGTGTGAACACGACTATGTTCAGTCAAATAACCTCTTTTTGAAAAACGCTTATTACATATACTACAAGAAAAAGGTTTTTCCCCAGTATGAACTCGACTGTGTGCAGTCAGTAAACCAGTTTTTGAGAAACTCTTATTACATATATCACAAGAAAAAGGTTTTTCCCCAGTATGAACACGACTATGGGCAGTAAGTGTTTCTCTTTGTGTAAATCTTTTATTACATACATTACAAGAATAAGGTTTCTCACCAGTATGAACACGACTGTGTCTAGTCAGTTTACCACTTCCTGAAAAACTCTTATTACATATACTACAAGAAAAGTTTCTCACAAAACGTTTCTCACCAGTATGCACACGACGGTGTTCAGTCATATTACAGCTTTTTGAAAAACTCTTATTACATATACTACATGAAAAAGGTTTCTCCCCAGTATGAACACGTTCGTGCCCAGTAAGTGTATCTTTTCGCGAGAAATTCATATTACATACACTACAAGAATACGGTTTCTCACCAGTATGAACACGACCGTGTATAGTCAGTGCACCTCTCTCTGAAAAACTCTTATTACAAATACTACAAGAAAAAGGTTTCTCCCCAGTATGAGCACGCCTGTGTATAGTCAGCATACCTCTTCGTGAAAAACTCTTATTGCATATACTACAAGAAAATGGTTTCTCACCAGTATGAACACGTTGGTGGCCAGTCAGTGTACTTCTATTTGAAAAATTCTTATTACATACACTACAACGATAAGGTTTCTCGCCAGTGTGAACATGACTGTGTTCAGTAAGTGCATCTCTTCGTGAGAATCTCTTAGTACATACACTACAAGAATACGGTTTATCACCAGTATGAGTACGAAAGTGTGAAGTTAGATTACCTGTACACGAAAAACTTTTATTGCATATACTACAAGAATAAGCTTTTCTTACAGGATGAATAACACTATGTTCAATAAGCTTACTTTCCTGAGAAAAACATTTTTCGCCCATGCTGCATGAGCTAAGTATCTCAACTAAAAGCAGAAAAATTTCAACAATTTAATAAAAAATTCTGATTACATGTACTGCAAGAAATAAATTTCTAGCTAATATAAAAAAGTATTAACTATTGGCCACTCTTGTTTGTTTTAGAAAACTATATCACATACACTGCCAGTGTACTAAGAAACTACTTATTACACTTGGAAACTCAAAAGCACATAAACTACAAACATTAAATTTCTTTGTATGAAATTACTTGTGCGTTAGAACATCATTACCACTATGACACACATTACACAGACACTATTTGCTGGTAGTGTTCTAACATAGAATGTTACTGTCACATAAAATTATATTGTCTTCAATAATTCTTCCTTCTGTCAGGAAGCATTTAACACACACTGCATGAATAGTTTAATAATAATATAAACCATTCAGGAAACATATTCTGCTTACTGTCTGCTCCAAAGAAAATAATTTTTTTTTTATCATTTCCATCCACATTTATTTTTCGTATTAGGATAATATATGAATAAAATCTGCATGGAAGTAACCTTTTAAAAGCACTCTCTATATTTTTTCCATTACAATGAAAGCAATTTACTTTATATTGGCAGGGTTTTATAATATGCAGGTTTATATAGTTGAGTATACGTAAGAGAGTTTTATTACCTCTCCTACCCTTGAACGAATATGTCTTTGAAATTTAAATAGGACATTCCGTAATGGATAAAGACTAAACAATTTAATAAAGCCTTCCGTTACACAAATAGGGTTAATAAAAGTCTTCCTCAGTTTAAGTGAGATAGTCTGTTATAACTTAGTTCATCTCAGTAAAGAATTATTTCACAAGTTAAAGTTATTTACGTTATTGGTTGCTTATTTCTACTCATCTGATCTCCAGGAAATTGGAATAGCTTATGACTAGTGAACATAAGCTTATTACCTTCTTAAAAGAGCATTCTTACTGTATTGCAGAAAATCGCATATACGATTTCGAAGATGATACAAAGTACCTGATTTGGAAATTTTTCGCTAGTTTATATCTGTCACAAAAGAGCAGGTTCTTGTTCGCTTGGCCAAAGAATACCTAAGGAGGCCTT